CTGTGCTTGTGCTCCTCTGCAGTCGTGACCCACAGAGGCAGGGTGTGCACAGGTTGCTGAATATGTCCCTTTTTTCTTTCAGGCCCTTGGACGATGTCACCTAAAGCACAGCATAGCCCTGTGGCAACTTCTCTCGACTCGCAAATCTGAGCAGCTTCTGCGCCTCAAAAGGGTAAAGTACATTGATAACTTCAGCGTCTAATCCGCTGTTTGCTTTAGCTGAAGTTGCTCAAATGCATATGGTTGGTTGTTTTTTTTCCCCTCCTCGCTGCACTTCTAGGATCCTTTTGTAGACATCAGTGCAAGCTACAAAGCTGAGCTCAGTCCAGAGATTGCAAAGCTCCTCAACACTTTCCTTGTCCACTCAAGGCTGGAAACCTTCCTGCAGGAGCTCCATGAAATGATCACCTTGAGGCTGAGACATGTCCGAGCTGCGGATGTGTTCAGACCCACGTGGAGGTAACGGACTCGTGCAGCACGAACCAACCCATGGTGGTTGTTGTTGTTACTAACTTAAGCTTCTCTGGCTCGGAAAACCCATGTGATGGAAAGGGTTCCCTTGGCAAATAACTGCTGTGCTGGACAAAAAGCAGAACCGATGGCGTTAACGCGCAGCTGGATCTGAGGCACACTGCCTGTTTCTGACGCGCGTCTTCATCTTGTAGAGACTATTTTGGGAACGCTGCTGGAATATACAAGGAGCTGCTGTTCATGAGCAGGAAAGACAAACACAAGCACCTCTGCGGTCACTCACATGAGCACACCCAGCTTCCCGCAGGCTGCCTCCCACTTCTGTGCTCTTTAGCCCCTCTGTCAATCTGAGTGGCTGCTCAATCCTTTTAATTACAAGACACACATATTAAAACCCCACACACTTCATATTGGCGCATCCCTACCACACAAAACACTACGTGGCATTTGTAGGGTGCTGTAAACCATCCATTAACACCACTTTTGTTCTGTTTTCCAGCCTGAAGGAATCGCTCATTCCTTACCTCGATGCAAAAGACTCCGAGATCTCTACAGAGCTGGAAGAGCTGTTCCCCGAGGAGGTTCTCCTCTGTCACGCTGCTGCGACCTGGAAAGCTGCCGCCGTCTTCAAGCGGGAGCGCAGGGCGAGCTAGGAAACACTCGCTCTGCCCGGCCTTCCTCCACAGGGGGAGTTTTGGTGCCACAAACTCGATTCTGGAACCTCAGGGTGTTGGGTTTTGGGTTTTTTTTTGGACTTGGTGTTTGTTGTGGTGGTCTCTTTTTTGTGGGTTTTTTGGTTGTTTTTTTTTTTTTTACACTAACCAGCACCAAACCTACACGCCAAAGCTGCTCTCCTGCAGCAGGAGGATGGTGGAGAAAGAGAAGGCTGAGACTCTGAAGGCATCATAGAAGGAGGAAAAAAAACAACCCAAAGCTACCTAATAAAGACAAAGGACTTTTTTATTTTTAAAAAAAAAATCACACACACACAAA